AATGGGCTCAAGCATAACAATGATTATGAGGTTGGTGCAGGACTGGGCAGTGTTTTGTTCTTTTGTACATAGGGTCACTATGAGTTGGAACCAACTCGGCCGTACCTAACAACAACAACAACTTGCCTCTGTGCTTTTCCCTCCATCTCCAAGGTGCCCTTCTAACTCAGATAGGTGACTGATAGGTAGATAGATAAATATAAACTACCATCAGGTCGATTCTGACCCTTGTCGACCTTATGAACAATAGAATGAAACATTGCCCAATCCTGCATCATTCTCAAGATTGCTGGCATGTTAGAGTCCATCATTGTGGCTATTGTGCCAATCCATCTCACTTAGGTTTACCTCCCTGTCATCGATTGAATTGTGTTCCCCAGAAATATCTGTCAGCTTGGCTAGGTCATGATTCCCAGTATTGTATGACTGTCTACCATTTTGTCATCTGATGTGATTTCCCTATGTGTTATAAATCCTATCACTATGATGTTAATGAGATGGATTAGCGGCAGTTATATTGATGAAATCTGTAAGATTAGATGGTGTCTTAAGCCATCTCTTTTGAGATATAAAAGAGAGAAGCGAGCAGAGAGACATGGGGACCTCATACCACCAAGAAAGAAGTGCTGGGAGTACAGCGTGTCCTTTTGACCTGAGGTTCCTGCATGAAGAAGCTCCTAGACCAGGGGAAGATTGATGACAAGGACCTTCTTCCAGAGCTGACAGAGAGAGAAAGCCTTCCCCTGGAGCTGGCGCCCTGAATTCGGACTTCTATCCTACTAGACTGTGAGAGAATAAACTTCAGTTTGTTAAAGCGATCCACTTGTGATATTTCTGTTATAGCAGCACTAGATAACTAAGACATTCCCCCTTGCTGGCTCTCTATCTCACCAAACATGATGTCCTCCTCCAGCAACTGATCTCTCCTGATGACTTGTCCAAAGCAAGCTAGTCGGACAGTGTTCTGTTGTGATCCATAAAGTTTTCATTGGCTAATTTCTGGAAGTAGGTTTCCATACCTTTCTTCCTTATCTGTCTCAGTCTCAAAGCTCTGATGAAACCTGTCCACCGTGGGTACCCCTGCTGGCATTTGAAATACCTGTGGCATAGCTTCTAGTACCATAGCAACACGCAAGCCACCACAGTAGGACAAACTGACAGACAAGTATGGCCTTCTAACTTAGGTCCTCAGTACTCTCCTGGGAAGTACCTAGCTCTTTTCTGCCTTGTGTCCTTTTCAGTCCCTCCCTTTTTCTTTTTAAAAACCTTAACACTCCTGCTGAGTTAAGTCCAGATTACTTAGTTGGACATCAGGATCCTTTACTATATGGCTTCAAGTTGTCATTCCAGCTTTAATTCCTACACAGCCACCCCGTGTGCCACGTGCTGTGGTCAAACTTGACATTGCCAAGTGAGCCTTTGTGCTTGCATTTTCCTCTGCTTAGAATGGCTTCATGTCACTTCTACCTGCCAAAGTCCTAGCTACCAAGGACAGGTCAAATCCTGCCACCTCCATTAAGCCTGCCATGATTTCCCTAGACAAAAGCAATGCCTCTTTGCTCTGAACATTCACAACAGTTCATTTGTTCCTCTTTCATAGTACTTCTTCCATTCTGTACTTTGTGTTCTAATTATCTGTGTCTGTCTCACTCTCTCTTAAAAGGGCATAGATTCTTTGAACACAAGGAGTCTTTCTTTTTCTTCCTTATATCCCTTATAGCACCAAGCCCAAAGCCTTGCATCTACTATCAATAATAACAAAAACAGTAATAAACTTAGCTCAGTATTTGCTGCAAGAAATATTGAAAGAACACAATAAAATATTTTTTTAAAAAAGTAAAGATCAATCTAAAGGTGTGATTTTAATTAACACACAGGCGTGGGAAATGCTACTGCCTGTGTCTTACATGAAGTTATCTACATCATTGGCGGCCACTGCGGCTACAGAGGAAGCTGTACCTATGACAAGGTTCAGAGCTACAATTCAGATATCAATGAATGGAGCCTCATCACCTCCAGTCCACATCCAGGTAACAAAATGTTGTTTAAACAGTACTTGACCATGGTACAACTTATCAGCATAAGGGATAGCTAAAAATGGGCTGGAAATAGAAAATGCTAAGTTTATGGTAGAATACACATAGATTAATTAAAAGGCTCAAAATATTCATATATCCATATAATTAGATCATGTCCACAGGTATTTTCCTTGATGTCTTTACATAACACACATTTTAAGTCTGTGTGGTTAACAGTGGTTTTCCTTTTTTTCACTTAGGTTCATTTTATTTCCTATTCCTTTGTTATATGCTTTCTTTCACTTACTGCATGCATTACATAAAACACCAATTTTTATAGACACAGTTAAACAGCACTAGTCAGCCTATCAAATAATCAGAAGAACACCTGTTGATTGAAGTTCAGCGGGAGATGGTTTCCTCTTTTATGCTTGTTCTTCCTTGGCTTCAACAACTACTAAGCACTCACTCCTCCAATGTGCAGAACCCTATGTTGGCCTTGCCTTAACAGTCATAAAGGGGACATGTTGTCTGCCCAAAGGAGCGGTCTGCCTTCAGTGAGTTCTTTTGTTCTTTGACATGTCTCTTTGTGAACAGCTTAGAGGAAAGCATAAGATATAGCCTGTTACAGTTATGCCATGTTCTTAAATTTATTTTTGTTAGCAAAGATTCATATCACCATATTAGTTTGAATCATTTTCTATATAGCATCAGCTTCCATGTGGTTAAAAAAAAACCAAAAAGACCAAAACTTACTGCCATTGAGTCGATTCTGACTCATAGTGACTATATAGGACAGAGTAGAACTGCCCAATAGGGTTGCCAAGACTGTAAATCTTTATGGAAGCAGACTGCCACATCTTTCTCCCATGGAGCGGCTGGTGGGTTCGCACCACTGACCTTTCAGTTAGCAGCCAAGTGCTTAACCACTGTGCCACCAGGGCTCCTTTCTGTGTGGGTTACTGGAAGGTATAATTGAAGTTTACAAGCTGAACCATCTGTAAGTAGTAACAATAGCTAACCTTTTGAGCACTTGCTATAGGTGAGGTGGCACTAGCTAAGTACTTTGCATGTAATATTATTTTCAATCCTCACTACAACACTGACAGTGGGTATCATTTACCCCCATTTTACGTATTCGGAAAGGGAGGCTTAGAAAGGATAAATAACGTACCCAAGGTTACACAGCTTGAAAATGGTAGAAACAGGATTCAAATTCAGGCAGACTGATTTATGCTGTAACCACTAAGCTGTGTGCCTCCTTAAGTGAGTGTTAGTGTTGTCCAGGCTCTCCTGCTTTTAACCAGTGCAGCTCCTTCCATACCACACTTCCCAGATCTCAGATCAGTGTTCGAGTGGAGCACACCTAAACTTGGTGTTGCATTTTCATGGGCCACATGCTTTGCATAGGAAGAGACTTGCTGTCCTGACCATGAAGACATCCTTGGAATTAGTAGACTTTTTTCTGCCTTCTAAGAGCCCAGATGTGTTACCCCAGACCCCCCACCATTTCTGTTGTGACCAGTGGAAGGTCATAGTAACAGCTCATGTTGTTTATTGAGTTCTTGTTATATGTTAGGCACTATTCCAATGATTTTATATGTCTTAATCTACTTAAACATTACAGTAATCCTATGATCTAGGTACGGTTAGTAAATCATTTTAAAGGCCGCTGAGGTACAGATTGATTAAATAAATTATCCAAGGTTAGTCAGCTAGTGCTTGTTAGAAGTGAGGTTCAAACCTAAGCAGTCTGGCTCAGAGCCCATGCCCTTAACAGCTACACTATTTTTATCTCACAGGAGCCTCATGTTAACTAACCTTCTGAGTTAGATATTACTCTGCCTCTTTTGGGGACAGGCTTTTCTTTACAAAGAAAATCCAATATATGAAAAGTCAGATTAAAAAATTAGAGAGCAGTTAGTTACATTTTAAATTGAACATACATTTCATAAAGTGGCCCCTTTAAAAAAACAATTTGTTACATAACATTCAAGTTGCATGTAGCTTGTTAACTACTTGGAAGAGTCTAAACATCAGTAAATCTTAAGGCAAAGTATTAAAAGGTGTGGCAAATTGAAAAGTCAATCAGAAATAAATATTACAGTATAAATCAATGGGAACACATAATTCCACTTATAAAATTTTGATTCACTTTGAACTTCCTCCGATGTGGAGCCCTGGTGGCACAGTGGTTGAATGTTTGGCTGCTGACCAGAAGGTTGACAGTTTGAATCCACCAGCTGCTCCTTGGAAACCCTATGGGGCAGTTCTACTCTGTCCTATATAGGGTTGCTATGAGTCGGAATCAACTTAATGGCAGTGGGTTTTTTTTTTTTTTTTTTCCTGATGTAATGTGAAAAACAGAAGTATCAAACCTAGCACCCTACATGGGTATGTTCGGTTTGGCTCCCACAGTGTTGAAAATATTTAATTGGCTTGTTACCAATATTTTATAACTTGCAAGAAGGTGGATATTAAGATGGTTGCCATACACAGTGATGTTGATGCTAGTTCTGTAAGTATGTTTTTTTTTTAATTGTTGTAGTTTAAGTGAAAGTTTACATTTCAGGTTAGTCTCTTATACAAAAATTTATACACACATTGTTATGTGACCCTAATTGCTCTCCCTATACTGTGACAGCACACTCCTCCTTTCCACCCCAGATTTCCCATATCCATTCAACCAGCTCCTAACCTTCTCTGCCTTCTCATCTCACCTCTGGACAGAAGCTGCCTGTTTAGTCTCATGTATATACTTGAGCTAAGAAGCACACTCTTCATGAGTATCATTTTATGTCCCACAGTCCAGTCTAATCTTTATCTGAGGAGTTGGCCTCAGAAGTTGTTGTAGTTCTGGGCTGATAGAGAATCCGTTGTTACCAATATTTTAAAATCAGGAGGTTTCAAAACAGAAGATCATGATTTCTGGCCTTTAGAAAGAGTGGAAGATCTGGCAACCTTGGACCTATATTCCTTCCTGGCAGCAATCCACTGAGGCCAAGTAGTGGCTGTCCCCTTAAGATGAGTCTTGTATGCTCCATTCACCACTATCTCTCTACCTTCTCATTGTATCCTAGACCTAGAGGGAGGGCATATGCTGCTGTTGTTCTTACCCCTATCGTGCTTCACTCAGCTGTGTCATCTCCTTAGCCCTTGAAGGCATTTGGAACTGCATCTCTGAATTATAGGAAGGTATGCTTATGCACTTAGAGCACCTCCTGAGGAATGTAAAATGTCAGTTTTGTGTAATCTTATGAATATATAGCTTAGACCGTGAGGAAATGACTACTGGTATTTATTATTTTTTTAAATAATATTTTATGTGTTCTCAGGAAGGTTTACACAGCAGCTTAGGTTCCCATTCAACAATTTCTGCATAAGTTGTTCAGTGACATTGGCTACATTTGTCACAATCTGTGAACATTCTCATTATTTCCGTTCTGGTCGTTCCGTTTCCATTAATCTAGTTTTCCTGCCCCCTTACATTCTCATCTTTGTTTTAAAGTAATTGTTGACTGTTTGGTCTCATATAGGTGATTTTTGAAAGGAGCACAGTACTTATGGGTAATATTCATTATTTTTTGAACCAATTTGTTATTTAGCTACAAGGTGACCTCAGGGTTTAGTTTTGGTTCAGAGTTTGAAGAATATCTCTGGGCAGTAGTCTCTAGTCTCAGCCAGTGCGGTAGGCCGGTTTTTTTGTTTGTTTGTTTGTTCGTTTGAAGAAATACGAGGTTCTGTTTTACATTTTTTTTCCATCCTGTCAGGGTCTATCTAGTGTGACCCTGATTAGAATCAGTGGTGGTGGTACTCGGGTACCATCTAGTTCTTCTGTTTACTATTACTTTTAAAAAGAAATATTAATCTGTTTAAGTGAGGCAGCTTTGTATAGTTGAAAATATGAGACCATATAATCCCATTACATTCAAGATAGCATTTATTGAGATCTTCCATTGGGGAAGTTACTATTCTAGTTATGGAAGACACATAACATGATTAAGAGCTAGTCTCCACTGCCACAGGAACTCAAAATCTAGTAGAAAATATATGTATATAATGGAGTGCAAGACAATCTTTAGTAAGTTCGAAACAAACAAGTGCTATTGAAATTCATGATAGAGAGCTTGAGTCTATTAAGGAGGATCTGGCAATCTTTCAAAGTCCCTGGGTGATGCAAATGGTTGGCACTTGGCTACTAACCTAAAGGTTGGCCATTCAAACCCACCCAGTGGTGCCACAGAAAAAAGGCCTGGCGATCTGCTTCCATAAAGATTATAGCCAAGAAACCCCTGTGGAGTAGTTCTACTTTATAACACGTGTAGTCGCCATGAGTCAGAATCAACTTGATGGCAACAGGTTTTTGGCAATGTTGGGAGGCTTTCAGGGGTAGGTAGGCTATGGTCTGGGCCTTAAAGATGGCTACAGTAAGAAAGGGTTGAGGAAGGGTGTTTCAGTGAAGGAAGAATTCACTGAAAGTGTATTCTAGTACCTGGGGGTAGATGTATATGAATGGAAAGTAAGAGGGTAGAATGGGAAGTAGGAGAGTTAAGTTGGGGAACATTATAGAGGGCTTTGAAATGACAGCCTAGAGAATTTAGTAAAAATGGAGAACCATAAAAGATTTCAGAGCAGGAGAATCATGTGATCAGCTCTAGTTTTAAGAAGAGAATGCCTTTTAGAGTGGACTGGAAGAAAAACAAGGCAGGGAGATCTCCTAAGACTGTGGTAATGAACCAGGTAAGAAATGCTAAAAGCCTGGAGAAGCAGTAGAGTAGAGAAGGGGACGAATGTGAAGAGTGTTATAGATTCGGCAGCTGGTTGCCACCTTGGCTGATTGGATATAGGAATGAGGGTAGAAAGGAGTTGACAATCATTCTACGGTCTCTGGCAGGTTGACTAGGAGGATGGGGAGCATGGAAAGAGGAGCTGATGGGGAGGGAGAAGTGGAGAGATGAGTAGTTTAGTAGTTAAATGTGAAGGACTCAGAAGAGCTGTACAGCAAGCAATGGAAAATACGGGTCTGGAGCTCAGGAGGAAGAATGTGGCTAAATATAGAGCTCTGGAAGTTATTTGCTTGGAGATGATGGTTCTGGGCATGGGGATGAATGAGATGTTTTGAGGGGGTGGGACGAATAAGGACTATGGGCAAAATCTTGGCAGACAAGATTAAGAGAGGAGCTGAGGAAGAAGAGTAAAGAACAGGGAAGAAGTAGTAAGTGATAAAGGAGAAGAACCTGTAGAGAGCAATGTTAAGTGGGGGAGTGTATAGTCAAGTGTCAAGTCTTAGCTCTGCCATTTGTTTACTTGCCTAACCTTGGGCTGTTGGCATTACTCCAGTAGAATAAGGAAGTTAGACTAGATAAGCTTTACAAGTCCTTTCAATGAGAGAAAGCTTAGGAAAAATTTTGTAAATCATTTCAATGGATATTGAATATTGAAAAACATTGTAGTTGCCTCGGAATTCCTGTATCACTCTGTTCATATCACTCATGTAACTGAACACAGACTGCCATGTATTTATTTATATTTAATGTTTGTATGTAAAAACTCTGAACAGTGACAGATGTTGTCATTCCTGTGCTTAATTTGAAATTTATTCATTCACTTGTTCATTCATTTATTTGTACAACGGATGTTTGCTGAACACTTCCTATGTACTATGTACAGTGCTAGCAGCTCAACAAATAAGACACAGTTTCTTAGCCTCAGTAGCTTAGTGAAATTGAACAAAAAGAAAAAAAGGCCGTTTTAGCTGAGGAAGAAAAAATTCTCCTCGACAAAACAGCAATGTGTCGTATTTGGGTAATGGGGAGAAACAATTAGGAATCACTTTATTTTAATCATTTTTACTGCAATAGGAAAATTGAGATTGGTCTCTTAGCATAAGATTCACAAATTGAGGATTGTTTGTAAACTTTGAATAACTTAGGAGAAGCATAGTAATCTCATTGTTGAATCACTTACACCAGCTGATAAAAATTTAAACCATTATTAATTTTCACAATAACCATTTGATGAAATGATTTGTTTAATTTATATAAATAGTGTTTTGCAAGTACTTGAAACAACTAAATCCTGTAAAAATTCTACATGTGTATAACTGGAAATTAACAAATGGTTTCTCAGTAATAAAAGAATTCTTATTTTTTTGAATATCAGAAACTTGAGAATAATAGTACATAGAGTCAAAGTGAAAATACTTCTCTTTTGAGACTTTTCTTTAGACTTCAAAACTTAAGACAGCAAGAACTTTACTGATAGGCAGTTGTCTACCATCCTTAAAGGAGAGACTGCATTTTTGATCTTACATTCTCTTTCTTTCTAAAGAGGGAGCTTATATGCTTTTCTTCCACACGATAGTGTAGGCATACGTTGGGGCACAGAGGGTACAAGTTCATTCATGGATTCAACACTTATTGAGTTGGTACATTGTGCCAGGTACTTGCCATTCTCCTATTGGGAATAGGGCAGTGGGCAGGACACAGTTCCTGTACTACTGAAAGGGGGAGAGAGGGACAAGAAACAAACATATCAGAAAACGAGAAGTGCCATGGAGCAAATTAAAACAGGGTGATATGATAGAGATGCCTGACTGGACACTTGAGGTTGGATAGTCAGGGAAGGCCCCTCTGAGGGGTGACAATAAGATGAGACCTGAATAACAAGAAGGAGGCAGCTATGCACAGACCTACAGAAGGAAGACTTCCGGGTGGAAGGAACAGCTTAGCAAGGGCCAGCTAAATCTTTATTTATTCACTGTAATGTAAATGCCACTGACAAATCCTCCTCTTCCTTTAGGCCTGCAGTGCAAAGTATTTGTAGTTTTGTGGTTGATGTTCCCAGAGAAGTGAACTAGGAGGCTAGTCGTAATGTTAGAAGTGGGGACTCAGAAGGAACAAGACTGGGACTAGGGTGAGGCAAGTGAGACGCCTGAGACACAAAATTTAAGGAGTCACTCTGAGAGTGAAGGCCTCCGTACGTTTTGTACCCTAGGTGCCTCACTTGCCCCACCCTAGTAACAGCCATGGGAAGATGAGAGAGGAAATGAAGTTGTGAAAGTTTGTGGCGCCCTTGAAGAGCCAGCAGGTTTGGATGTGAAAAAAGAGAGGACGGAAGTGAGAAAAACTAAAACAGCCTAAGTGCTGACCCCTAGAGGCAGTCTCCCTGCCCTGGCGCCCTGATCTTAGACGTCAGTCCTCTGTCTTTGGGTACCTTTGATAGATTCTTAGGGTAATAGTTTTGTGCTAATCTGGTTGGTTGTATGTTTCTCTGACTTCTTGTGTCCTTAACTGGACCAGCGGTTGGAGAGAGGCCAGCAAGGTAATCCTGTGTGGCACCTGTGGCAGCAGACACCAGCGATTGCCTGCTGCTGGTTAGAGGAATAGCATGCTAAGACCTGAAGGAACCTATACCCGTTACCTAGTACATCTCTCTGTAAGAAGGACCCTACTGCTTCCGTCTTTCTCAGATATGTGCTGAATCAAAAAGCATCTGTGTGAGAGAATTCCCAGGAGAGTGGGTGGTCTGAGGATGAGTTCCTCTCTGGCATCATGCACAACCAACTTAAGGATGACCTGCGGGGTAATGGCAGTGTGGCTGGAGCAGGTAATCTGAATCAGGTGGCAGTGAATGGATTTTAAGCCACAGTGTTGCGGTAGTGTGTGCCAGAATCAACATGCCACCAATACTCTGTTTTTGCATGCTCAATTGTAGAGGAGTATTTACATCACCTCGCTACAGTATTTCTTTTGTTTTATATCCTAATAAAAATTTGCTTTTTTTTCTTTTCTTTTAAAAGAATATGGATTGTGTTCAGTTCCATTTGAAAATAAGCTCTATCTAGTTGGCGGACAAACTACAATCACAGAGTGCTATGACCCTGAACAAAATGAGTGGAGAGAAATAGCTCCCATGATGGAAAGGAGGATGGAGTGTGGTGCCGTCATCATGAATGGATGTATTTATGTCACTGGAGGATATTCCTACTCAAAGGGAACGTATCTTCAGAGCATTGAGAAATACGATCCAGATCTTAATAAGTGGGAAATAGTGGGTAATCTTCCAAGTGCCATGCGGTCCCATGGCTGTGTTTGTGTGTATAATGTCTGATCGAATCCACAGAAATGACTGGGTAATCGCTGTTTTGCGGTATATAGTAAAAAAGGATTTTGAAGTCCCTAACTTGTTATTGTGGCCTGGCACGTGGTAGAGGACTGGTAAATTTTAATTCCTAACCCTCACTGTACCCCCAAATCCAGTGATTAATGGTTAAGAAAAGTCTTATGTATATGCAGTTGAATCAGTGGAGTTATTAACCCTAAAATCTCTGCTTTTTAAAGCTAATATGGAATATTGGACATGTGGTAAAAGGTGAAATACCTTTGTGGTGAATCTTTTCCTCCTGGTAGCATCAACACTGGGTGTAAGTCAAAATCAGTCTATGGACCAAAATGCCTCTTATGACCCTGTAAAGTAACAGACAGTGTATATCAAGGTTCTGTTTAGCTAGCAGAATTTGAAATTTAAAGAGGTAATCTTTTCTGCCTCTACAAAATCAACACTTCAAAAAACACACACATTTTTTTGCCTTTAGAATTATTTAGAATGTGGACTGACTAAGTCTAGTTTATTTTTCTTTGTAGTGTATGTAATTTATTGTTATTTTTCTTTATTTACTGACCACCAGAGATTTACAAAATGCTTGAAAGTTCGTTACTGTTCAAGAGTTTACAAACTAAATTTAAAAGAATGGCAAATCTGAAAAATTGCAGAAAAAATAGTCAACACTTGCTGATGTTAAGGGCTGTGTTTAATTTTCAGCTCTGATGTAAATTGTTGGTTTAGTTATCTTTAGTTTAAGCATGTTAGAAATTTCTTTATTCTTAATTGTAGATACATGTTCACATATAAAATCGAGTTTTAGAGCTAGAAAGTATGTAGGACAATTGTGATATAGTAAAAAATACATTGATGAGGGTCAAGAAATTTGAGTTCAGTTCCCAGCTCTGCCACTAACTAGGTTTTTGACTTGGGTTGAGCCTCTGATTTAGAGCTTCCTAATCCATGTGAACTGGCACTGTGGGTCATAGATGCTCCTAGATATGGATTCCTTCAGCCCTTGGAGTGCCCAGAGGGAACTTGGGTGGATGGAGCCTCTGGGCCAGAAACACCTTTGTCCATTTACCCCAGCATGCCTACCATATCACTTTTCATGTGTGCTATAACATTGCTTATGTTAACTCACCTAAACTTTTAATAATCTGTGAGACCATCTATTCCAAACTCTTCATTTTTTACAAAGAGACCATAATTATATTTAACTTTAAATGCTGAGGTTTAAAACTACATAACACTTCTGATTTTTTTAAAAAAATTTTGGAAAGGAACTGTTGAATGCACTCACTTCAGATGTTATTTTAAATAGGTATAACCCTTTGGGAATACAATATGGTACTACATAGCAAGAGCCATAAAAATGACCGTGTCCTCTCCCCCATTATTTCTACTCCTAGATTTTTAACCTAAAAGACTAATTCAAGGGAAAAAAAGGTAAATGCATGAAGATGTTTATGTCTGTATTATTTGTGATAGCAAAAATTTGAAATACCTTTATGTCAAGAAACAAAGTAGGCTAATAAAAATAGTGAAGTATTATACAGCCGTTAAATTATCTGGAAGACTGTGTAGAAACATGGATGTGTTTATGATGATGGTAAGTAAAATAAGCACAATACAATATAGTGTTCACACTATTATTGTGACTTTGTAAAATCTTTATGCATGTGGTTATATGCAAAACTGAAATTCATTGTGTTAGTATAGGGGGATAATGAATGATTTTTAATTTATTTGTTTTCTTTAATATTACTTTGTGTTTTCAGTAAAAGTAAATAAATACACTGTATACATGGTAAACCTATTTTGGGCCAACTGAGATGAAGGACAGTCTGAATTAGTGAAACAATTGAATTACAAACTATTTCAAATGTTTTTTATTGCTCTCAAGAACATTTAGCATTAATGCTGGGTCAATAATATCTTGCCCAGTAGTGCTTTGGGGAATCTCTTCTGTGGAACAGATGAAAGCAACTATAATCATCCTCACCTCCTTTTAGCTTATCTAAGTCCTATAAAATCCTGAGTCAAATCTAACCTTCTCTGGAAGTTCTTTCCTGACTATTCTAGCCACAGTAAAACTCCCATTGTCACATTTACAAAGTCTATCATTTATATGTGCATAGTGTTTCTCCTGGCTAGAATTGTGATCATGGATCACATTTTAATATTCTCAAAGTCTAGCATTTCATACGTATATCCACCATAGTTTTATTTTTTGAATGATAATGGCATTGATTATTTTTACAGAAAAGCATTTCAGAGGTGTTTGAAAAAACCAAAACCAAACCTGTTGCCATTGAGTTGTTTCTGACTTATAGCAGCCCTATAGGTGCTTAGGGGGTCTTAAAAATAATTTGTGATCAGAGATGTTTAATTTGCAGCTCTCTTTTCTATTAAATTCTTTTTTGCTTTTGGTTTTTACATGGAAGAAAGGATCAAGTAAGATAAACTAAAAATAAATGATATCTTAGTTATCTAGTGCTGCTATAACAGAAATAGCACAGGTAGATAGCTTTAACAAACAAATTTATTTTCTTACAGTTAGAGGGCTAGAAATGTGAATTCAAAGCACCAGTTCAAGGGCAAGGCTTTCTCTGTTGGCTCTGGATGAAGGCCCTCGTCTCTTCAGCTTCTGCTTTCTGGTTCCTTGGGAATCTCTATGTGTCTTGACGTCTCTTTTCTACCATCTCTGCTTGCTAGCTTATGTTTTAATCTCTTTTATATCTCAAAAAAATTGACTCAAGACACACCCTACACTAATCCTGTCTCAATAACATAACAAAGGCAACCCATTCCCAAATGGGATTATAACCACAGGCATAGAGGTTAGGATTTACAACACATATTTTGGGGGGACACAGTTCAATCTGTAACAAACAAAAAGTATTTTTCTGAAATTAAATGCAAACCATTGCTTTGAGAGGTGAACACTATTTTAAAAAATAATGAAAATTGTGGACATGCTTTCAAACATGTCTTAATTAAGATGAGTGTCAGTATCCAAATTTTAAAAGTCACTGTTCTGAGACTTCCAGCAACATGGCGCTCTAGGCAGAAGCACCGCACCATCCCTCCACAACAAAGATCCGAAAAACTAAGCCAAACAGAGAAAACAGCAATCCTGAAACCCTAAAACATCAAATGAAGAGATAAAGAACTCAGCCAGGCACCAAATGGAGTGAGAAACTGACAGAGAGCAAGGAGAGATTCATGCAGAGGTCCCCTATCAGCTAATACAGCATGGATCTGCCATCTTGGACTCTTATCAGAGACCAGCAAATAGGCAGTGCAAGAAAGCAGCTTCACAGAGTTTCAAGCAGGAGACAGAACAACCGGTAACTGGTGATATACGCTTTCCCACCCCCCACCCCTCTTTACCCCAACTCGCCCTGCTCTGCTTCCTGTGGCCACAGTCTCTTGGCCGGGAAGCACCAGCTGCTTGGATTCCTCCTACCCGAACTGGCCAACTCCCTGAGTGCCATTTGTTGGCTACTGGTGTTACTTTTTTCCACTTCTTTTAATTTCTTCTTTACCTCTCACCACCTCCCCATCCTCTCGCTCAAATACCTGGCTCCGTGTGCCATCTTTGCTTTTTCCTAAGGGGCTGCGAAGCTCCATTCAAGTGTGGAACTGCTTCCCGGTCTGTGCTGCCACGCTGGTGGGATCCTGGGGCTTTTTTGTTTGTTTGTTTCGAATTGTTTGTTTGTTTTCTTTTTCTTTTCTCGAGTTGGGAGCCTGTTCTGGCTGGGCAGTGCTATGCGGCTTGGGACCTACCCTCTCAGCTTGCGCAGAAACACAGAGAGATCCCCGAGGGCATTTCTTTTTTGTTTTTTTGTGGGCTTTTCTTATTCTTTTTTTTTTTAAATTTGTTTTGTTTTCTTTTCCCTCTTTTTCCCTTTTTGTCTTTCTTCATTACTCAGTTTCTTTTCTCTCTATACCTTCCTTCTCTTCCTCTCCCCTGAATACCTGGCACTGAATACCTCTACACCTTCTAGCCAGGCTGTACTTCAACACCTGGGAACATCTTCCCCAGACCTCGTAGCCACACCAGTGGGATCCCTGGGAGCTTTGCTCTTCTTTTTTCTTTCTAATTTTTATTCATTCTTTTTTTTTCTTCTTCCCCTTTTTGTTTTTCTCCATTTCATAGTTTCTCATCTCTCCATTCCGACGGCAAGCTCCCCTGCCACTCTTTTTTGTTTGTATGTTTTTGGCTCCTGTTCCTGTCTCCTCTTTCCCGTACCCATCTTAGTTCCACATGTCACAATCTCCCCCCTCCATCCTACCTATCTGCACCGTGTGCTTAACATCACACCACCAAGCAGCACAGGCATGGCCTACCAGAACCTGCCCTGTACTGATTACTGACATGCCCTGGTGGCTGTAGTCAGTGCCACAAACAAACCATCCCAGCAACTCCTCTTCGTCTAGACCTGCCCTGCTGTACCATATCTGAGCGACTGACCCTGCCAATTGGAGAAGGAGGCAAAAAGTATCGTGCCCACAGACAAGCAAACAACAAAGAACACACAGCCTGCCTACTCAGACATAGCCAAATAAAAGGAAAAGGACAAAACAAACAAATCTACAATCAATAAACAAGAAAAATAACTACTGAATGCCCTGAAGACAGCAGACAATATCAAAACATTTACAAAAACAGGACAGGATGGTTCCCGTAGGCATCCAAAATAAAACACCAGATGTCTTTCCAGTAGAAGAAAAGACAACAGAACTACGTGATAGGGAATTCAAATCTCTAATACTCAGAATTATCCAAGAGTTGAAGCAAAAAGCAGACAAAAATGAGGGGAAAAAAAGACAAATTCATGTAAAATGCAGACAAATTAATGGAAAATACAGACAAAAAAATGGAAGAATTCAGGAAAATAATGCAGGAACAAAATGCCAAAATAAATTCACAACTACAAATTATACAAAAACAACAATTAGAAATCCAAAAGATA